GTGGTTTTTTGTAGAATCAGAATGTTCAAGTCTGATAAATTTAAAATTTCCAAATAGCGAGGTAGCCCTTTAGGTATTGCTCCAAGGGCTCCAAGGACAACACACGATTTCTTTTTCCTCAGTCGCTCAACTTCAATTTGCAAGTCCCGGTACTTTGTGATTTTTTCTTGCTGTTTATCTTCAATTTGTGCATCTCCAGGTATTGCAATGTCAATGAACCATACTTTTTTCTTTTCAACTATTGTTATGTCAGGTGTGTTGTCTTAAAAAGGCTTCCTTTATTTACTTCCTTAATCATTGGTTCTTCACTTTTCTGGATGTAATCATTCAAGCTGTGTTGTTCTTCTTCCACAGTCTGTTTTACTTGTAGGAGTCCTCGACTACCCTCTACTCTTGGTAGATAAATCATGTCAAAATAAATCTAGCTGATTCAATAATTCAAACTGACTCAGAAATTTTAACTGGATCAATACTTCTCTATTTTTATTTTTTGTTTGAAAATATGGAAGGTCATAGAGGTTTCATAACCTGCAATTGATGGTATCTATTTTAAATGAGAAACAGTGCAGTAACTATTGATCATAAGGGGAAAAATTCAGAATCAAAACAGGCAGTATCTTTATTGGACCAACTAAAGTTGTACAAAAGTGTTGTTCACACAACAGACTCTTACAAAATTAGTAACATATTGGTATAATTTTGCTTTTTCCAGAGCAGCCCAAGATCCGACTTCCACGCTACTTAAGAGAATTGTACCTGAGGACTGTGGGGGATACAATAAACCTCTTGATCCCATTCTGGGTATGTGAATTAGAATTCTTTTGGTATTATCTCTGCTCTTTTGGCCTTGTCTGAGGAAGAGATTTTGAATTCTGTCATTTATTCTGGAGCACAAGGCAGCACATATGATGTTTCCTGCTGTTTTCCATAGAAAACTATTTGGAATAGAGAGAGAGAGAGAGAGAGAGAGAGAGTAGGAGGCCCAAGGTCACCCAATGAGCTTCTCACTGTGGATGGTTTTAGAACCTGGGTCTTCCTGATCCCAATCAAGCATTTTAACAATTATATCTCATAAGCATCACTTAAGATGCAAATGTGAACAGATTGCAGCATCACCTACACTGAAGTGAGTTGTAGTAAATGGGGTTTCACTGGGCAAAACAGAAGGAATTGACTTGATTTAAGTTTTGAAAGAAGTCTAACTCAGTGGTGAAATTCATTTTTTTTTACTACTGGTTCTGTGGCCATGGGTCCTGTGACTGAGTGGCTGTGGCCAACTTGATGTCACTCATGGTGACGCCCACTCAGACACATGCCCACCCAGTAGGAAAAAAATGTGTGTATAAGTCTATTCACAGCAGAGCTGCTGCTCCCTTTAGGATCCCCCCTGGTCCCCTCCTTCCCAGGGACTATCTGAAAGGGATAGGCTGCAGCAACTCTGCTGTGAACAAAGGGAGAAACGTTTGGATTGTCTCTGCTGCATTTAACATTGAATTCTGTGGCAGAGACAATCCGAATGTTTCTTACTCTGTTCATAGCAGAGCTGCTACTCTCTTTATGGTCCCCACAGCCCCCTTCCTCCCTGGGTCTCCCTTAAAGGGACAGGCTACAGCAGCTCTGCTGTGAATGGAGGAAGAAATGTTTGGATTGGGTGGGTGGATCGAACGGCCGGAAGAGGTGAGCCAGAAGAGGTGAGTGGCCACAGGGCGACCAGGCGGGTGTGGGTGTGGCCAGGGCCACCAGGGATTTTTGCCACCAGAGAACTGATGCCAATCATCCCTGCTGGTTCGGCCGAACCAGGAGGATTTCATCCCTGGTCTAACTGCCCTTGAAGAAATGGAAATATTATAATTCAGAAAAGCAAGGGAGATCTACAGGCAGAATGCTACACAAGCCATGAAATCCTAAGGTTTGGCCCAAATTATTCATTTTGCAGTCTGAATAGTTGACAAGTTTGGAGTTCATAAGAGCATTTGATTTGTATTTTGCCAATCTTGTGAAAGCTTTCATTTGCTTAGCAGTTGATGGCTGAATACTGAAATGTATTCTCTTTCACCTAAGTCAACCTCTTTTGTTAAAAGGAGGTTGCTATCTACATTCAGAAAGAACAACCAATATTCTTCAGTCCAGTAATGGAATAAAAGGTGTCTAAAATAGCTCTCTGCCAAAAATAGAAAGCCATGTGGATTAGCACAGAGAGGCTTCAAAAAGGGTGGAGAACTCCATGCATTTCCTTGGCTCTTCGATATTTGCAGACTGGTTCTACCATGGACCTCGAACCTTCCCTTCAAAGAGCAGCTGGAGCTCCAACTTTACTGGGGTCACATTTGTATTACTATTAACTTATCTTAATGTTGTTATCTATGTTGTTCATAGTTTAGAGTGCAAGAATTTTAGGTAAATGTTTTTTCACCGTTATTTATTTTATCTAGATATATACTTCAGAGCACGATACAGAAAGAAAAAGAGATTACCAAATTTTATTACAATCTGTCATCATTATTATCAATGCATAGCACGCATAAAGTGCAGATAAAGAGTGTACCACTTATTTGCAGATAATAAGCAAGTCTGCAGAAGTTTCTTGGTAGGCTGTATAAGTTAATACATTAGATATAGCTATAACATTTCTGTAGTATCAGGTTGCTTTATACAACTCACCCAAGAAATCAGGAACGAGCAATAAAAATACGTATGCCAATGCAAAATGCATAATCACAGAAAACAAAACAAAACATTTTGGTGGTTCTATAATCACAATAACAAATATATTCATTACAGTGGGTGTTGTTAAATCTTTTATCAAACAAAGTAAATGTAAGATTTTAAATCACCAGAAATGTTTGGAAAGGTGATGTTGTTTTTTTCTATAAAATTGATGTTACAGCATATTCTCTATGCTGAATTTTGCAACAGAGGCAGCTGTTTACTTATCTAGCCTCCTATGAACAAATCCTTCCCCCATCCCCTGATTTAAACAAAAACAATGGTTTTCAAGTGATAATATATCAACAGCTACTTAACATCATAAACATGAAAATATTCTTGCTTAAAAAATTCAAGACTTAGATAAAATAAATGCCTTCCTGTAAATGATCCACCTCTGAATGAGCTTATGGAAAATGTGATTCAATATTATAGTTAAATCACAGACGGAGAGTGAAAGCCAATTAATTATGGTTTTGGGGTAGAATTTGAATGTATTTTTCCCCATGAGATTTTTAGTCTTCTAAAGTAGGTTGGCTTCATCTTTGAAACCTGGCCTTAGATATCCTGCTCATTAGTATTTTAATAAGCACTGGCCTACCGTTAATCCTCATGAAAAGCCCCAAATTGAATGATGCTGAAGTAGATTAAACTTTGTTAAAACTTTGTTGAACTTTGATTAACCTTAGTTAAATAGAATAATATGTAATATGATCCATTCATTTTCATGTCCATTTCTTAGGGAAAGCCAAAGCCACAAGTGACCTGGACCAAAGAAAGCCAACCTTTGGACCCCAAACAAGTTGTTGTACGCAACACTGAGAAGGATTCTGTATTCTTCATTCGTGCAGCACAACGCAAAGATTCTGGAAAATACCAAATACATGTTAAGATCTTAGATGAATTTGAAGATGTGGCTACCTTTGATCTCCTGGTGATTGGTAAGGACAATAAACTATATGAGTTGATAAATTTTCTAATATTAAAATGGCATAGATGTTTCTTCATTGAAGCAAGCTTCTCTAAAATGGGACTCCCTATAGTACAATTTTTCATGGTACCAGCTGGTTCTAGTATAATTGGATATTGGAGGATTGATTGTGATATAGTCCTTCTGTTATATTGTTTCTTCTATTTATATAATTATTTAAATGAAAGTTTTAGATATGAAAGAGTGAGAGCTGTTTTTGCTCGTATTAAAACTATACCTCCAAAAATGAAAGGTGTGGGGGCTATCCCTTCCATTGAAGATGGGGCTAATGAGGTATCTTAGTTTGAAAGATTCTTATAGTCCTTGTTTAATGACCACTCATTCAGAACCATTTGTAGTTACAACAACTGAATGAGGTGTACTTATGATCAATCCTCAAAGTTCCACTCTTCTCAGTACCCCTGCAGTCTCATAATGGTAATCTGGGCGCTTGGCAACTGGCTCACATATATGATGGCTGTAGTGCTCGGCATCATATAATCATCATTTCCAGCCTTCCTTGCTGGCGTCCCACAAGCAAAGTCAATGGGAAATCTGGCAGGGAAGATTGCAAATCATGCAGGTAAGTTGCTCACACTCTCTCCCATCCAGCAGTAGCCACCCCCAACTTAGTGGTGCCTAGCATCGCACTGCATGGACCAACTGTACCTCTTCCTCCACCTGGCAGCAGCCACTTACCTGCCTGGTGGCCTGCTTGCAAATCAATCAACAAGGACCAGGAATCCTTGTTTAACAACAGCAACCAGGAGCCTCGGAATTGCCACTGTTAAGCGATGTGGTTTCGGGACGTTGCGCTTTACAATTGCTTCACTTAGCAATGGAAATTGGCATCCCAATTACCATTGTTACCTGAGGATAATCTGTACAGTATTTTGTTTTCTGTTGGAAAGTGAAGTGAAAGCGAATCCCAAAGCAGGCAGGAAGTTCCATGTTTAATCTTCATCATCTCCAGAAAGGATTGGAAAAGACTCTTGACTGTAACTCTAGAAAGCTGTTTCCAGTCAACATTAACAGTATTGAGCTAGAGAAATCAATGGTGTGACAATGTTTTGTCTTGGCATTTATTCTGGCGTCTCTTTTGCATTAGCCTGTGATTCAGGAGAAGTATGATTATACTTTGTGTATGTGTGTGTGTGTGTCTCTCTCTTATTTTTAGAGAAACCAGGCCCTCCTGAGAATCTGAAGGTGGTAGACACCTGGGGCTTTAATGTCGCGTTAGAGTGGAACCCACCCCAAGATAAAGGCAATGCTGATCTCAAGGGCTACACAGTCCAAAAAGCAGATATGAAGACTCAAGTAAGAGCTATTCAGTGCACAAAATACAGCCTTTTTAAAAGAAAGGGGTCAGGAATGGGAGAAAGTGGAACTAAAGATAATGGTGGTTCTATAGCCATTCTCAATACACATGCTTCAATGGATTTAGCCAACCTATTATAATACCATTTATGATAAGTTTTTACCTTACACAAAACTTAGAATATTATTGATCAACTGCTATAAGCCAGCAAATGTATAAATATCAGCAAAAGTGATATTCTTCCATTTAGGCTATGTCTGTCTAGGCCCTGATTTGGCTTAGACTGGGACTAAGGCAAAGAACCATTCTAGAGTATTAGAAAGACTTTACTAATACCTTCCTTTCATTACATAATTTTATTCAAACATTATACAGATAGTCCTTAACATACAACTGCAATTGAGATAAAAACTTCCATTGCTAAGCAAGATGGTTGTTAAATGAGACTTGCCCAAATTTACAACCTTTTTTTGCCACAATTGTTAAGTGAATCACTGCAGTTGTTGAGAATCATGAGGTCATTAAGTAAATCCAACCTTTTTTGGAATTTGTTACAGGTTTTGATTTTGATACCATCAATTGATAAGATCAATTTATGGCGTAAAAGGAACTCCTACATAGAATTTGCCCCCAGCTGGATTAGGGGGTGTATGGAAATTAGGTTAGGAAATGAATAAGAGTAATGTTATGTTATGGAAAATCCCTGAATAGTTGTTTTAAAATTTTAAAGTACAATTAATTGGATTAGTACCTTGCTATGGAAAATGAAGGTAAATCATGGTTAAAAAAATAGTTTTTTTAAAAAACAGCTAATCAACTATAGTAAATAACTTTATAAATCAATGTCTATTTAGTCCAGTAGATATATTTCCCTTGGGAATCTTTCCTTCTTTAGTTCTCCAGAAATAATAATACGGCAATATAATTTGCCTTTTTAACAAAAGTTGTTGCTGGCTGTTCATTCAAAATCCCTGAGAGAGACTTGGTTCCTCAGCTATTTCTTTAAACCTGGATTTGTGGCATGTTTGGTAGAAATATATTTTGTAATATTTCTATTCATGTACAGTATATGTCTTGAGATGTAAATCACACACAAACACACACACACACACACACACACACACACACACACGATGGGGATGTGGTGGCTCAGTGGCTAAGACGGTGAGCTTGTAAATCAGAAGGTCAGCAGTTCAGCGGTTCAAATCCCTAGTGCCGCACAACGGAGTGAGTTCCCGTTACTTGTCCCAGCTTCTGCCAACCTAGCAGTTCGGAAGCATGTAAAAATGCAAGTAGAAAAAGATGAACCACCTTTGGTGGGAAGGTAACAGCACTCTGTGCACCTTCAGCATTTAGTCATGCCGGCCACATGACCATAGAGACATCTTCAGAGAGTGCTGGCTCTTCGGCTTAGAAACGGAGATGAGCACCACCCCCTAGAGCCAGAAATGATTAGCACATATGTGCGAGGGGAACATATATATAAATCTATGACAGCCTGAGTTTTGGGCTTAAAGCGTGGTCGGAGCTGCCTTCTTTCTATAAATCTTGGTGGGGGGGTGGAGTGCTGGCAGCACTCCACACACCCCCACCTAGAATTATAGAAAGCCCAAAACCCAGCCTGAAGATGGTGAGTGAGACCTTGCCAAAACATTGCCAAGACAATCTCAATCTTACATGGGAAAAGACCCAAATACAACAAGACCAGCATACCTACACCTGTGAAAATCTATGATAGGATATATATACTTTTAAATAATAACATGTAAGAGCTATTTTTTTCCACCTCTATATGTAATTTGGAGGTCAAGGCTAAATCATTTTGCTTGCCTTTTTTAGGCCATGCAAAAAACATAACTATTTTGTGCAAAATGTTGAATTCCCTGAATTCTGCCTTGTTCCTCAGCAATGGTTTACAGTTTTGGAACATTACAACCATACAAGCTGCACCGTATCTGATCTCATCATTGGCAACAGTTACTCTTTCCGAGTTTTCTCAGAAAATCCTTGTGGTCTAAGTGAAATGCCTGCTGTCACAAAGAATGTAACACACATAACAAAATCAGGTAAGGCTAATAAAGCATGATAGAAAAGTGGGAAGATCCTGCTGTTTCTTCATCACAGGCGTGGACAACATGAGACCTCAGATGTATAAGTGGCTCTCCAAACTATTCAAGATCCCAGATCTTCCCAAGCCAAGTCACTATATTTGGGGAACTGGCAGTACTTTCTTAACTGTTTTGCAATGAGAATCAAAAATATAGTAAATCAGTCCATTGGGAGAGGGCAGGCCATGGTTAGGTTAGGATTATAGAAATGCTACTTTATTGTAATGTGTAATGTGTGCCAATAAGGGTGGCAAAGTATGCTTACGTCACTACCTTTATTGCATCTGCCCAGGACTGCCCAGCAGCCCTGCTTAGTAGACCAGGACCCTTTTGGCTAGGGAGGAATCAGGGTTCTTGCTGTGAACAATAGTCATAGGATCTGCCACACAAAGTCATTTGACTTTGCTCAAACTTGGGATATGGCTAGGCAGATTCTTTGGAAATGAGATAAGAGCCCTGTTATACAGGATGAGTTCTAGCTGGTTGGTCCATGAGAAAAATAGTTCAGCCACTTGTATTGTTGGCCCTCATACGTTGGTTAAGGCCTCTTGGGGGGGTGGCATGCAGTTTGATCCAAACTCGTAAATGCTTGTTTTGTATGAAGCAGTAATGCTTCCTCTTCTCAATAGGCTATCTTTGGACTCAACTGTTTTAGACAATTTTCCTCCAGTCTCTAGCCTTCCCTAGAAAGAAGGTTGTCGAGAGAGTGGTGGTGCTCAGTTATAGAGGACCCTGATTACCTTCACGCTTTTCAGTCTGGGTTCAGGCCAGGTATTGTCCCAATATGATATTAGTCACACTTGCAGAGGACCTTAGAGGGTTTGGGACAGGAGTGATCTGGTTATCCTGGACCTCCTGGATCTCTCAGAAACTTTCAGCAGTATTGGTATAGTTCTGTGCTCAGCTTGGGGGCTAGGAATGGGAGCATTGTTTTATGGTGGCTCCTCTTTTGTTTGAGGCCACTTTCAGTCACTGTTGGGGGAGAAGAGATTGTGATGCAGCATTCTCAGGGCTCAGGTTTCTCTCCTTTCCTCTGATGAAAGAAATGTCCTTCTGGGTTCGGCTCCAAGTGGGGAAAAAGACACTGGAGACATGGAGGCTGCTTGGAAAGATGGTTTAATGGTGGACAGGACCACATGGCTTGAGTCCTGAACAGAAAAAGTGATCATATGCTTCAATGTTAGTGGAGAAAAAAAGAAGGAAGGGCTGAGATGCTGAGTCCCTGGTTTTATGCCCTCTCTGGCCTTTGATCTTGAACTTGTATTCTGATTGGTTGTCAAACTTCCATGGGGCCATGCAGGGGCAACTCTCTAGGCTGTGTTTTGAATCCAGGTTTGGTTGAGTTCTCAGATGCATGTAGTGAGTTGGGTAAAGGGCCAATATTATCATGCCTTAATCCCATCCCCCCTGGAGCTGAAGGGGAGAACTCTTTATTATGTAAAGGGACTGGCTTGGGCATCTTAATGGCCCATTGACAAAGGGGGATGGGCAGGAAGCTGCAGGGAGCTATTCTCTCTTTAAAACATGTTTCTCCCTCTTCACATCCAGAGGAACATTCTGCCTTTTCAATATTTCCTAGGATATTTCATTTTTCTGGGAGAGGGTTGAGTGATAACTTCCTACACCTCTTTAACATTTACATAAAAATTCTGAGTGAAGTCAATTGCCAGCATGGGGCATGGTATTGTCAGTACAATCAATACCAAATGCCTGGAGCTAGGATGGTCTGGATGGGGAGGAAGAAGTTTCAACTCAGTCCTTGTAAGATGAGGCTTTGAGTCTCTTCCCCCCCCCACACACACACACCCAGGGGGCAGAATCTTTGATTCTGACATATCCCTGGACAAAGCTGATGCCCAGTTTGGAAAGTCCTAGACTCATGACTACTGCTCAAGGAGAAAGTGGCAGCCATGACTAGAGGAGTCTTCACACTGATTCATCTTGTGCACCAATCACATTATTTCCTAGATCAGGAAGCTTTACTCATAGTCACTCAGGCCTTGGTCATTTCTCGTTTGGATTACTACACCGTGCTCTGTATAGCTTGAAATCCACTTAGAACAGTGTTTCTCAACCATGGCGACTTAAAGTCCTGTGGACTTCAACTCCCAGAATTCCCCAGCCAACTGGCTGGGGGATTCTGGGAATTGAAGTCCACAGGACTTAAAGTCGCCATGGTTGAGAAACACTGACTTAGAAGCTTCAATTGGTCCAGAATGCAGACTTGCATTCAGATCTGCCAGTTTCTATTACTATGACCTTATAATAAAAGTAGTGATATTAGTTTGCGGGACTTTGGTTTCCTAGTCTGGTCTACCTAGAAGGGCTAACATCTTTTTTTTAAAGTTTTTTATTTTTATTCTCTTACATACAATTACAGGTATACATTCACATAGTTATTATTCTTATTTATCTTTATCACTTTTACAGATTTACTCATCCATATAAAAGGTTAAAATATATATTCTGGGTTGCTTTGCTTACCATCCCATACCCCCTTTTTATGTTATCATCACCCTATTTTTTCTTCTTTTTGCCCTCCCTCCCTTCTCTACTTCTATCCTTCCTCCTCTCCTCTCCTTTCCCTTTCCTTCTTCCCTTGCCTCTCCCCTAACTCCTCTCTTCCTCTTCCCCCTGGAAGGGCTAACATCAATCCTGCAAGTCTGAATGCGTTTTCCTCTCTCCTTTTACCTTCATGAGAACTAGGGAGGGTTTTCTCTGAGATGTTTTCTCAAGTTACAGCTCTGCTCTGGATTCAGGTTCTTTTATCTGACCATTATTTTCATGGCAGCTCTTCCTTAAGCATCAGTTCCTCGTGGTTAGAGCTGAGCATTTTACAGCCTGTGGGCCACATCCAGCCCATGGACAATCTCAGTTGGGCTCACGGAGCTAGGTGGCAGTGGATGGGTATCATTGTAAGGATGAGGGTTGAGCGTTGTTGGTGAGATGGGACATTGTCAGTGGGGATGGAGTGCTGGCGGGAGTGGGTGGTGTTAGTGGGGGTGATGCAGCAGCCTTCCACAACAATCCCAGGTTCTCATGTGGCCCCTTGGGAAAATAAATTACACACCACTACTCAAGGTCATTCTTCTGTCCATCATACCACTGACCCTTATATTAAACTGACTGGTTATTTTGAATTCTTTTCCAGGTCTGAGTTTCTTTCTTGCCTTAATTGTTCTTGCATAACTTTTTCAAGGTTATTTGTGCACATTTCTAAGTTAAGTAACTCCCAAATTTGTCTGCAGAATCCCCAATTCTTTAAATATTTTTGTCCAGTGGTGAAATTCAATTTTTTTTACTACCCGTTCAATTTTTTTTTACTACTGGTTCTGTGGGTGTGCCTTGGTGGGCGTGGCAGGGGAAGGATACTGCAAAATCTCTATTCCCACCCCACTCTAGGGTCAGCCAGAGGTGGCATTTGCCAGTTCTCCAAACTACTCAAAATTTCCACTACCGGTTCTCCAGAACCTGTCAGAACCTGCTGGATTTCACCCCTGTTTTTGCCCCTTCATTACGAATGAATCATTTGTTCTCGCTTTTATATTGTTACCCTCATCCTCAAGAAGGATTACCTGCCCCTACTTTCTGTTGAATTACTTTATGATTCAAAACATCTCAAAATAAGGCCTCCCTGTTTTTGTAGGAATTGTGTACAAACCAGAGAAGTTCCATAGCCGGGATTTCTGTGAACCTCCCAAATTCACTCAGCCACTGATAGACAGAACCACCACGCAGGGCTACAGCACCCAGCTCTTCTGCTGTGTCCGAGGCTTCCCAAAGGTGGGTCCTTTTGTGGCATGTGATGCCTACCGAACTGCAACAAGATAGGATATCATAGTAGGTAATAGGAAGGGTGGTGAATTGAGATAACTAATCTCTTTTGCCCTTAAAAGGAAAGAGGGATCTTTCTTACTTCTGATCTATAATGCTTTGTTGTGTATTTAACATGCATTTCCATAATGGTATATTTTCTTTTGTAAAGGTTTTCATGCCAACCTTTGCATTTAAAAATATCAACTTTTTCTCCCCAAATATGTTTCTAAATATTGAACACTCCCTTGGGAGTGGGGCGGCATACAAATTAAATAAACATTCAAACATTCAAACATGAAATACATGTTTTTCAATACATTTATCTAAATCAGGAGTCGGCAACCTTAAACACTCAAAGAGCCACAAAGGTCCTTACTGGAAGTCCCCTATTCTGGAGCCGACCAGAAGTCTGGTTTCCCTACCATAGAGTCTCCTTCTAGCGCAGCATACTTTTTCATCTGCCGACTGGAAGTCCAATTCCCCCTCCATAGAGTCTCCTCCTAGTGTAGCATACTTTTACTGCCCAGAGACAGGGAGCCGTAGCAAAGGGATGAAAGAGCCACATGCGGCTCTAGAGCCACGGATTGCTGACCCTGATCTAAGTTATATAAATAAATCTTGACAATTCTTTATTGAATTGAGAACTGCATCACTGACTATCACTGCAGGAAATGTAATAGAAATGGATAGCTATATTGCGATCTTCAGACTAGACTATATCCTCATGTTCTTCACATCAGACCTTGCAAAAGTCAAATTCTCCAAGCAAGTGTCAGCTTCCCATTTCCTTTTGCAAGCCCGTATTTGCTTACATTGAAAGTGATGCATCCTACCTTCCAACCACAAATTCCACCTCTTCTAAAATTTTATGAAGCAAAGTGATGTGAAAAATAAATTGAACTACTTAAAGATAAAAAGTCTGACTCCCTGGATACCTGACAGTTTCTCCAGAAATATATTAGCTATAGAATTCAGATAGATATGTAGCTGTTACAGAGCAAAATAGGGGAGAAATTATTGCAAACTACAAAAATACTGGCAGATAACTTGTATAAATTAGCCTCACTGAATGCAGACAAGGGAGTTAAGAATAGAAATGCCATGAAGAGAAATAGTTTATATACCTATGCTAACTAGCTTATCCTGCTGAACGGCATTTTGGGATATTTATGCACTTTGGTGTATTTACTTGATTGTAGCCCAAAGTGATCTGGATGAAAAACCAAAGGGAGATTCAAGAAGACTCAAAGTATCTAGTGCACATGGACCAGGGGATTTGCTGTCTAGAAATCCGCAAACCTAGCCCTTTTGATGGTGGTGTCTATACATGCAAAGCTGTGAACCCTTTTGGTGAAGCCTCTGTAGATTGCAAATTGAATGTAAAAGGTATGTATGTATTTTATCTCTTGTTTGCATTTGAATTCTTTGTTGCAATTCCCCTCAAAAATGTTGTGGAACCTCTGAATGATTTCCACAGAGAATTACAATTATTTATGTATAAAAATTCCATGAATTATCAAAAAAAAGAGTGATCTATAAAAAAAGGCTACACTAAACAGTGATTATAAAGTGCAGTAAAAAAAATTCGTAATATATTATAATCATTAAATTGAGCCAAAGGAATTAAATGTCTTCATGCTTCAATTTCCTATAGAGATGGAATAGACAGTTTGCCAATGTTTACTAGATAGAATTGAGAATAGATCTGCTATCTGTTTGTTTGATTCCTGCAATTACTTCCTTCTAGGTCACGTCCAGAATTACTAGCATACATGGCAGATATTTCCCAAGGAAGTATTACAGGGGAAGTGAGATTATGGTGGTATCAGTCCTTACTATAAAATAGGAGTGGTGCTATTTGTTGCCAGCAATTAAACAATATTTAACTTCTTGTACAACTCCTTCAAATAATCTTTTAAAGTGCTTTTTGGCGGAACAGAGTGTTGGACTCCTCAATTATATATTTATTGGTTTGGATTATATGCTGCTTGTTAGATATTAGTTCTAACTACAATGAGTTCCACCAAGGTCCTCTGTTCTGGCGGGAACAGAGGTTTAATAAACAGCTCTTTATTGAATGCAACAAGTGAGAACAATCCAGCGAAGGTTGAGTCTGACAGCAGCCCTTTTATAGGGAGC